CCCGATCTCTGTCAGCCCCCTCCGCCCTACCCTAAATGCACACTCGCCCCGAGTAAGGGATGCTTGCTGTGCAAACGCAGCTCCGCGACGGCTGGCTCGGCGGCCCCTCCGTCAGACCGCGGCCCTGACCCTTCCCCTAGCGCATTCCCGGAGCCCCCTGGGTTCCCTCCGTCAGCCCAGGGCCCCACCTCTAAAAATGGGTGGGGGACGGCGTAGACCACATGCCCTCCAAGGACCGCTGCCTTGGGCAGTGTGGGGTCCTTTGTGCTGTCCAGCATTCGGTGGCAGACCTGCAACGTTCTCCCAGGGTGCTTGGTGCAGAGCACCGCAAGGGGGTGCTTTAGACCGATTGTCTTTCGCTTTGGGGTTCGGGCGACCATCATCCTAGTCCTTTACTAGGCTTAATATTAATATTTAGCAAGTGCCCACTATATGCCCATTTGGGAACCAGTTGGCTGGGGGAAGTCCCAGCATGGACTTCAAGAGCCATATATTTTTAGTTGTCCAATTAATTTCTTTCTAATTTTAGTAGAGACAGGGTCTCGCTCTTGCTCAGGCTGGTCTCGAACTCCTGAGCTCAAACAATCCGCCCGCCTCGGCCTCCCAGAGAGCTAGGATTACAGGCGTGAGCCACCGCGCCCGGCCTAGAAACATTTTTCATTGTCACAAATCGGGGAGTGCTACTGGCATCTAGTGAGTAGAGGCCAGAGATACTGATAAACATCCTACAAAAAATTATCTGTCCCAAAATGTCGATAGTGACAAGGTTGAGAAACCCTTGTGTAAAGAGAGGCCAAACCCAGTCCACAGTTAGGGAGGGGCCCTTCAGCACTGTGGACCATCTGAACTTTCTCTGCCCCTACCCAACATATAAGCATACCTCTTTGCCTCCTCCTGTCTCTCAGCTTATATTCCATTTCTGACAGCCAACAAATTCCTTCTGGTGCCTTCTGCCCAGAGTCTATGGCCCCTCAATTAACTTTACCCCAAACTAGAAGCATCTGCTATTGGAAGTCCTGATTTCAGGATTATCTGTGACTCTTTGACAAGAATGAAGCCCAAGGAAGAACAAAGAAGATCTGGAATAGACATTTTCCTGACTTTACTATAACTAGGAACACTTGGACTTTATCTGTTATAGCTGAGTTCTGCCAAAACTTTCCCAAAACCTGAGGAAGTTGAAACCCAAGCCAGGACATACAGCTCTTTCCTAAGGCCTGTTAGGAAATTACCTGACTTAGAGGAACAGAAAATGAAAGGAGAGAGACCATTAAAGGAGCCTACAGGCTAGAGTCCCATGAGCCTGGGCTCAAAGTTCAGCTCCATCACTCCCACTGAATGACTTCAAACAATCAAGTTATCTTCTTTCAGCCTCAATTTCCTTATCTGTAAAATGGGGGTATATCATTTATCTCATAGAGTTGCTGTGAGAATTAGATGAAAAATAACTGATGAAAACTGCCTGGCATTTAATGGAGCCAGAAAAATAAATACCGGCTCCCCTCTTTCCCACTTGGCTGGAAAGACCCTCTGCCACTTGTCTTTGCCAATCTGCAGATTTCATTTCTGGGCCAAGCCTGCTCTGGGTGCCCCAGTCTGAGACCATTTTCTTCTCAGAGGCTGAGAGTAGCAGGCACCCCCTTCACCCCTCGAGTCTGCCCTTCCTCTTTGCAGATTGAAGGGGCAACCCTTTCTCTGAAGATCGGAGGCACCCTTCTGAGAGACACAAAGCCTGGGGGGGTGCCAGTACCACCTCGCAAGGATTTCTCTTCCTCCCCATCTATCTCCATCTCCTGCTACACCCCCCGTTTTCCCACCTCCTGGGGGAAATTGCCCCTCCCCATCCTTCCAGACCTTATTTCAAATTGTGCCCCTAATAGGAATGAAGGCTCAAAGAGGACAGGATTTTTGTTCATCTCTGTCTCCCCTACTTCCTAGAACAGGGCCAGCCCATGTAGACATTCAACATTTATTGAACCAATGAATACAAGCCACCTACTCCAGGAGGTCTTCCAGGTCAACCTCAGCATCTTTTCCTCCAGAGAATACCCAGGCAATTTTGCCCCCAAATTCTAATCAGTATCCCCTGCTTCTCAGGACTCCGGCGATGTAAGCGTCAAATTATGGGATAGGCCACGGGTTATTCCAAGGCGAGGACCTTGCCCTGGTTATCTCTTTCCATAACCCACCCACCCACCACCAGCAGCAGAACGCCTGGCACCAAGACGCCAAGGAACCCTTCCTGCACTTGAGATGTGCTCAATTGTTATCATAAGTTTCCGCAGAAGAAATGAAACTGAAACCAGTCTGGGGGAGCCGGCTCATCTTCACCCCCAGCACAGCTCACGGAGCTAGCGACATCTCCGGCCCCAGAACTCCAGCTCTTGCCCCTCTCGCAGACCCACTCCTCCTCCGGCTAGGGGGCGAGGATGACAGGGATTCAGCCAGCCCTGGTGCCCAGAAAAATAAATTAATGCGCTCGGAGAACCGCGGAGGAGATGAAGGGAGGAGGGGACAGGCAAGGCGGCACGAGAAAGGGCGCACCCCACACGCGGTTACCTTCGCCACTCGCTTGCTTGCCGTCATCTCGGGATCGAGTGTGTGGCACTGACGGAATCCAGCTGGACAGTGCACGACACGCGGACACGGTGAGCCCCGCCCCGGGGACCCTACGTCCGGAGGCCCAGCCCACGCCCCGCGCCACCGGCGCGATCGTTGGATAGACCTTCTCCCCACCGCTCGGCTGAGACTAGAAGGCCGCCGGGGAGAGGACTTGCTGGGCTCCGGCCAGAGCCCCGGCGTGGGGGCTCAGTCCTGGGAACTCGCGCTCTTTGTCGGAAGACCGGGGCGGGCCCTGGAGCGCGCGGCGTCGCCTGGTCCCTGCGGCCCGCTGGGGGGCGCCGTACACCAGGCTGCGAGCGCGCAGGGGGCGGTGCCGGGGTCCGCCCATCCGGGTTCCAGTCCTCGCTCCGCCGTGGGCGGCCGCGCGGGAGAGTCCCGATCTCTGTCAGCCCCCTCCGCCCTACCCTAAATGCACACTCGCCCCGAGTAAGGGATGCTTGCTGTGCAAACGCAGCTCCGCGACGGCTGGCTCGGCGGCCCCTCCGTCAGACCGCGGCCCTGACCCTTCCCCTAGCGCATTCCCGGAGCCCCCTGGGTTCCCTCCGTCAGCCCAGGGCCCCACCTCTAAAAATGGGTGGGGGACGGCGTAGACCACATGCCCTCCAAGGACCGCTGCCTTGGGCAGTGTGGGGTCCTTTGTGCTGTCCAGCATTCGGTGGCAGACCTGCAACGACGTTCTCCCACGTTGCTTGGTGCAGAGCACCGCAAGGGGGTGCTTTAGACCGATTCTCTTTCGCTTTGGGGTTCGGGCGACTATCATCCTAGTCCTTTACTAGGCTTAATATTAATATTTAGCAAGTGCCCACTATATGCCCATTTGGGAACCAGTTGGCTGGGGGAAGTCCCAGCATGGACTTCAAGAGCCTCCTTCAAAGAGAGGCTGCTCAGCCTCCCTTATTTTACTCCCTGCCCATTACAAACTGTGGCCCTAGTATGTGCCCCCATACACGGCTAGGAGTCTCCACCTCTCCGTGCAGAGGCAGAGACCCCAACCCAGAGCTACATGGCCAGGCTGGTCTCGAACTCCTGTGCTCAAGTGATCCTCCCTCCTGTGCTGGGATTACAGGCGTGAGCCACCGTGCCTGGGCAGCCCCTGCATTTTTAATGGTAATGATCAGAGAATCACCTGATACTATGGGAGCATGGAGGAGGGTCACTTGATCCAGCTTCAGAGAGCGGCAGAGGTTTCCCGGAAGAGAGAAGAATCCAAGTGTATTATGAAGCATGATGAGTTGGCTAGAGTAAGAGCGTGGGATGATGGTGTTCCAAGAAGAGGGAGCAGCAGCAGCAAAGGCAGGGTGGCAGTGTATGTGGAAACTGAATGCGGAGCAAAAGCCTCTGTCCATGCTCCTTGGTCCTCCTTCCCTTCTCTTGCAGAAAGGAAGCATCTCTGAAGTCAAAGTCATGGATTTAGCCCCAGCCTCCCCGTCCTGGGTACCCCACACACACACACATACACAGTTTGGAGGCCCACATGTATTAGCTTCATGTACTTACACAACACAGGTCAGAATGAGCCCCAAGGAGACCCAGGTTCTAGTTCCACATCTGTCCCCACGTGCAGCATGACCTTGGGTGGGTGGTGGAAACACCTGTCTGCTTCCCAGGACTGCTGTGAGGCTAAGCTCACAGAAGCAGAGGAACTTTGAAAATTATATGTGCAAGTTATGAACAGGTTGGAATTCCAGCTCCACTGTTCTTGGCTGTGTAACACTGGGCAAGTCACTTGACCTGTCTGTGCCTCCATTTCCTCATCTGTAAAATGGGGCTAATCGTAGTGGATGTGAGGAACAATGAGTTGATATTTGTAAAGAACTTAACTTAGAACAGTAGACAATTGGTGATGGTTGTAATAATGATAACATAATAATAAATATTAAAATGATGGTGGGGGCCTGCCCAAGAGTTCATGTACCGGGTTGGAGGAAGAGATGCCTGAGCCTGCTCCCTTAGAGCAATGACAACTCTATCTTCCTGGATAGGAGACCCTGTTTTACTTCTCTCTGATCCAGTCACTGGCGTTTATTCATCCATCTACAGCATTTGTTGAGCACCTACTTGCACAAGGCCCTGTGACGAGCACTCTGCGGGACACAGGCGGGGCTTAGGCCAACTGCGTCTTCACCATTGAGGGGAAGACACATACATCTGTGTAGATGACAAAAGGCTGTAGGAGAAAGACCTCTAGGCTTGTCCCTTCAAGACTTAGCCCTGCCAACTGTAAGGCCTGCCAGCTTCTTGTGAGGATAAAATGAGACTGTGTATGTGAGGGGCACCTCATAGGTGCTGAAGTACTTTACCTATTTGTAATGCCTCTAGAGTTCTGGGCGAGAGATTCAGGTTATTCAGAAGTCTCCAAGAACCTTCAGTGTGTGTTTGAGGGGAGAATTTGGGTTAGGAGGAAGCAGTTGATTTTTTTTCGGGCCCCTTCCTTGGCTTTGTTCTTTTTTTGGGTAGGGAGGGTTAATCTCAGAACTATCCCAGCCCTCCCATCTCCCTACAGCTTAGAGAAAAGTTCTTGGGGAACTGAGGCAGAAGAGAATTTCCTACTTGTAACTGAGGAAGGGACCTCCTCCTGCACACCCCCCACACTCCCTTCCCCTGGGTTAGTCACACATGCATGCGCATACACATACACACCTCCTCATGGGCTGCACCATCAGCCCTGGCCTGTGGTTGAGGCAGAGAGAATGGCGTAGAGGCAGCCATGGAGACAGGGAGTCCCAGAGAGGAGCTAGGGTATTCCTGCCGCAAGAACAGGAAGATGACCTGGTGAGTCAAGAGACCTGTTTCCGGCTGGGCGCGGTGGCTCATGCCTGTAATCCTAACATGCTGGGAGGCTGAGGTGGGTGGATCGCTCAAGGTCAGGAGTTCGAGACCAGCCTGAGCAAGAGCGAGACCCTGTCTCTACTAAAAATAGAAAGAAATTAGTTGGACAACTAAAAATCTATATAGAAAAAATTAGCTGGGCATGGTGGTGCATGCCTGTAGTCCCAACTACTTGGGAGGCTGAGGCAGAAGGATTGCTTGAGCCCAGGAGTTTGAGGTTGCTGTGAGCTAGGCTGACGCCACGGCACTCTACTCCGGGCAACAGAGTGAGACTCTGTCTCAAAAAAAAAAAAAAAGAAGAGACCTGTTTCCTCAACGTGGCTCAGCCACTGGCTTAGATGCTTGTCATGGGACTTTGGACAAGAGAAGTAACGGTAACAACAGATAACAACAATAACTAATGTGTATTGGGTGTGCCAGGATGTATGAGTCTGCTCAGGCTGCCGTAACAAAATACCACAGGCTGAGTGGCTTAGATAACAGGAATTTATTTTCTCACAGTTCTGGAGACTGGAAGTCCAAGGTCACGATCCTGGTTGATTTGGTTTCTGATGAGGGCTCTCTTTCCGCCTTGCAGACAGCCAGGCCACCTTCTTGCTATGTCCTCATATGACCTTTCCTCAGATGCTTGCTGAGGTGGTGCAGGGGAAGAGAGAGTGAGCTCTCTGGTGTCTCTTCTCATGCAGACACTAATCCCATGGGATCAGGGCCCCACCCTCATGACCTCATTTAATCGTTTTTTTCTCATTTAATCTTAATCACTTCCTTAGAGGCCCCATCTCCAAATACAACCAAACTGGGGATTAGGGCTTCAACATATGAATTTTGGGGGACACAGATATTCATAACATAGGCTTGTACTAAGTGCCTGATATGCATTATTATAATTGATCCATTCAATAAGCTTAATTTTCTCTCTGACTTCATAAAATATGTGCTTTTGTTGTCTCCATTTTATAGGCAAAGAAACCGAGGCTAGGTGACTTAGTGGCCCAAGGTCACATAGCTGTTCAGTCTCTAAACTGGAACATAAACCCAGACCTACTGACTTTGGGCTTTTTAATCGCCCCGTCTATCTGGGCCAGCTCTGTGGTGCGAGCCTGTAGTTCCAACTATTTGGGAGGCTGAGGTGGGAGGATCACTTGAGCCCGGGAGTGTGAGACCAGCCTGGGCAACATAGACTTTGGCTCAAAAAAAAAAAAGGGGGTGAGAATCTCTGCCCTGTCTGCTTCACGCAATTTTGCTTGGAAGACTTTGATTCCTGAAAAGTGATGTGCACATGTAAGTTATCTTCCTTAACAAAGAACGGCCTCTAAAATTGGGCTGTCCTGGGATGTTCGAATTGGCCCCAGGTTCTCTTAATCCCAGAGCTGGAAGGGAGTTTTGAGATCTTCTAGTGTTGTCTAACCATTTAACCACCCTACCTCCCTCTACATCCCTCTGTGGGGAAGAGAAACCAGGGGCCCAGACAGGGGAAAGGCTTGCCCAGGTCATGGATTAGAACCCAGGTCTCCCTAGGCCTGGTCTGGTTACATCTTTGCATGTTTCCGTCAGTTGGCTGAACCTCAGCCTCGTCCATGAATTCTTCTGAATTGGGCCTTTTGGTGGGAACAAAGGGGTTGCACCGGATCTGATAGGATTAGTGCCTGTATGAGAAGAGACACCCACCATGGCCTCCACGAGCACCTGAGGAAAGGCTATGTGAGGACATAGAAAGAAGGTGGCTGTCTGCAAGCCTGGGAAAGAGCCCTATCAGAGAGCTGATGCCTAGATTGCCATCAGGCACAGCTAGTATTTAGGAAGTGTCCCCTTGTCCTGAACCGGGACATAGTGAGGTCCATGCTTATAGCTGCATGACTCTGGTCAATGCAATTTATAAGCTCCCTACCTTGGGTTTCCCATCCATTTTCTTAGGTTAGTAAGTACAGGTGGCAAACTAATGGCTCAGAAACAAGATTAATTTTGCAAGATTTGTGTGGCTTGTATATGTTTTTAAATATGATGCTGTAGAGGAGAAAAAATAATTTTTTCTCTATCTTTCATAGTTCTTGGTTGGCACAGACCTCTATAACAAAAGACAGATTAACAGGAGAAAAACTTACAAGTTTATTAACATGTATACCTCATGTCTGCATGGGAGATACCCAGGGACATGAGTCAATCTCCAAGAGGTGGCTTAAATACCATTGTCTGCTGAAACAAAGAAAGAAGGGTGAAGCAGGCAGGAAAAGCGCCATAAACAAGGATAAGGGTTGTTACACAGGTTTAAGTCAGTGTCTTTTCCCTTGGTAAAAGTTTCCAGTGATTCAGAGTCATCCTTCTCTTCCTGGTACACAGAGAGAAAGAGAGAGAGACTTACAAATAGAGATTTCCTTTACAAAAAGACAACTTCTATTCTGTTTTCAGAGCC